TATCTCTTGCAAAATATAATCAATTGGTACTTCTGAAAATTTACTAAGAACTTGAATCAATGAATAACTTTTTCAAGTATAAATCAATCATTCGTAAAATTGCTGTTTCCATGGCAACTTGATTCATATCACCACCAATATTTAATTGCTGAAAATTTCGTGAGAAAATACAGTATAGTATATTGATATAGACTAAGTTGTAAACAAAAAATCATTCCTGAAATTGCTCTTTCCCCAGGAATCAAACTATAACGTTTAGAAATGAAATTATTGTTTCCATGGTAACTGGGTTCACTTCTCTACAAAACATTTAATGGATTGGTCATTGCATTAAAGGCAACCCTCTCCTGAAAAATTCATAAATATCTACCTGTAATTATTCGAGTTATAAATGAAAAATTATAGTAACTGCACCCATATCTGCACCAAAATTTAATGAGTTAGTTCTTGCATCAAGGGCAATCCTCTAAATAAATTCACAAGAATCCATCACAAACAAATAAAGAAACCAATGTTCTTATGGTGCCTTAATTATATATTATCTTTATTCAATATTAAATTTAGCGATACACTATAAAGAGCCATGTCTGTCTACCCAACTGATCACTTCACCTAAAGCATGCCTCACACACATTCTTCAACACTACATTATATTGCTATGTCAACTAAGCTTGGCAAACAAAGCAATTGAATATCTTTGTGTAGCAGTTTAGCAACAAATAAGTTCTGTATATTCAGTAAAACCTGTGTTAGTGACCACCTCTATATAAAGACCACCTGCCTAATTTTTAACTTATCAGTCCCCATTCGGGCAACATGCATTGATGTACGATGATAAGCCTGATCAAGTTGACTAAATTAATTATTATACTTTTGTTATCAGGTGATACATCGCTGGTGGAGAATTTCACTTCGTAATGATGCCAAGAAAGTTGCCCCAGGTGAACTCCGAGAGACACTGGAAGATTTCATATACGATGATACACTTCAGGGTGAGTGTAATATAGTCATGTGATGTACCATGGTTCGTGTGATTGAGCGTGGCATGTCATGTGATCTAGAATGCTGATTATGGTCAATATTAGCCAATCAATTAACTGCAGTGCCTTGTCTGTTGTAGTAAGCATACAAAAGGGAGAGATGAGATAATTGTTATCATGTCTCAAGTGTATGTTAATGTGCATATGTTTAAATCCAATTCTTCAAGTTGAATCAGTGGATGCCATGCTGACATGTACATACTAAATAACAATTATGAATTAGGAAACTGTAATGCTGGTGAACTTTTGGTAGAACAGGTAGAACTTTAAAAAGTTGCCAGCCCTGTTTAGTGCATAATTTTGCAGATTTTCAAACCCTTGTGTATAGAACTAGTATAGAATGTCTTGTATCAATTTAAGCTAATGTGAGACTGCATGGCAGAATTTCAATGTATAGGTTTTATTGTTGTTTTCTATCTGACTTTTTCTTTTGACTATCTATTGTTTTCTGTTGATGACCCAATAGTCTACTGTTTCAAATCACTATGTTCTCCCTATTTTCTGTTGATGACCCAATAATCTACTGTTTCAAATCACTATGTTCTCCCTATTTTCTGTTGATGACCCAATAATCTACTGTTTCAAATCACTATGTTCTCCCTAGGCACCTGCACAGTTCATAGTAGCATGTTATTTAAGAGATTCTGTACATCTTTGGCACTGTTCCAGCATGTTACTAGTATTTGTTTGGTAGCAACCTTACCATAATGCAATGCACATGGTCTTCAATTTAGACTACCATTCATTTTATGCTTTCAATAGTATACACCATAGTTTGTTCAGATTTTAAATACGAGATTTTATGGATTAGTGTAGAATGCAAACTTTCAATTTAGTCTTGTCATTTTGTCTGTAATATTTGAATAGCGATGTGATTCCTCAGATTGGATCACGTCTGCAGGCAATAAATGTTGATACGTGAAATGGTAATACAATAGCTATTGTATTATGTGTCAGGTTGCATTGTTATCACAGTGAAAGTACATAATAAAAGTAATATAATTGGTGTTTGCAAGGTCAAGATAACTGTAGTCTGAGGTATTGTTACAGTTAACAATGTATTATAGTTAGATACCTGTAGATATGTAAACTTGTTGCTCTGAAAATTTACATAGTGGTCCTCTCTACAAATTAATTTAATCTAAAAGTGACCATTTTTGTTTCTTTTTAGGCAAATATTTCAGAGTGGGGAAAAAAATTTAAAGTTAGTGACATGTGTCCAAATCAATAATTATATGAAACTTTTAAGAAATTTCGATACATTTGTTGCTCCAATTAGGTTGAATGTCTGAAATCTTCATTAATGTCATGTACATGGTATACCCAGTAATAGTATTACACATGGCTATATAGCTGCACTATTATTATTGTTGATTACAATAGTATGTTTCCACTACCATTGAAACTGAAAATATTTTTAGTTCCCGTTCGGACGCAGTCCGAAAACGGGGACTTATGTTTTGACCTCCGTGCGTGCGTGTGTAATGCCTGGACCAATCACAATCAAACTTCACACATACATCATACATGATTATATACATATGCACGTCAATTTATTTCACGATCTGATTTAAGATGGCGGCAATTTTTGTGCTAAAAATCATCAAAATCAAGCATTTGTCAGCTGTTTACAGATGAATTTTGTTCAACATGGTATATACATTAGACATTATAGGACCTTGATGCACATCATATTGTTTTACGATCTGATTCAAGATGGCCGAATGGCAGCCATTTTTGTACTAAAAAATCCTAAAAATCAACCATTTCTCGGCTGTTTACAGATGGTTTTTGTTTAAACTTGGTATATACATTACACATTATGGGACCTTGATGCAAATAATTTTGTTTTTCAGATAAGATTCAAAATTTTGTATTAATGAATGTGGTTCTCGTGCCATATCTCTGACTTGCTTTCACTGATTATGTTCAAATTTTAAACATTCATTATACATCATGTTATAGATAGACAGATATATTGGTTTGATGATCCTATTCAAAATGGCCAAATGGTGGCCTTTTTTGTGCTAAACAATCATCAAATATCAAGCATTTCTGGCATTTATGGATGGATTTTGTTCAAACTTGGTACATATATTAGACATTACAGGTTTATGATGTACATCATT